GCAATGCTGCATATTTCGAAGGCCGAACTCAAACAATGCGAACAATACGAAACCTTAACCCGACTCGTTGAAGCGCCCGAATGTAGTTTCCTAACCGAGGATGCATCCAATTGCCTAGGAACATTTCATCAATAAATTTCCCACTCTGGTTAGTAAAGCATCGGAAACCAAGACTATCAGTCCGAGAAATATGGCGTCGTTTATACGGAGTAGGACACGCAAACATATGATGATGCGCAGTGCGGCGTGGTAAACCCACAAAACCGATCCGAGTACCTGGAAAGCATACGTTGTCCCCCGTGATCACTGTACCCAATTATTGCGCGAGGACATAGTAGCTTATCAACATACCTTAGTCCAGCGATTAACTGCAAATCCTAAGCTTTTGTACAAACATGTGCGCAGCCTCCGCAAAGGGAAAAGTGGATTTCCCCCCTTCAAACAGTGGATGGTCCAACTCAGACTGCTAAAGAAACAATACGCACCAACGTTTCATTGCATCTCGTGGTCTTCTGTATCTTTGGAATCTATGATGCCCACACCAGGACTCATATAAATTTTACGGCAGACATCGTGATGAGAAAACTGCTATCCATGCGCCTGCACGCCTGTCTAGGAATTGACAACTCCGCCCAAAGACGCTTGCAGTTGCGGCTACTATTTTGACTGAACCTTTGGCGCGGTTGTTCCAGCACTGCCTTGACGAGCGGCACGTTCTTGCAATGTGGAAACACGGAATAATAGCTCCCATTTATAAACGGGGTTGTCGTTCCGACCCAGCGAATCTACTGCCAGTTCTTTCAAAAGTTATGGAGGCTATCATTGCCGACGCACTCATGTTTTATCTAGACGGCTTTGATTACATTGCTCACCAGCAACACGGCTTCCGCCAGAATCGGTGGTGCACAACCAACCTATTGTTAGCACAAGACAGCTGGACCGAAACTGTGGACGCTGATGCAGGAGTTAATGTGGCTAACCGTGATTTATCTAGGGCATTCGACCGGTTGGACCATCGTATCCTTCTCGCCAAACTTCAAGGGTGTGACACTAAATACCCTCTCCTCTGGTGGATCTGCAATTTTCTCTCGCACAGGCATCTGGAGCTGAGTATACATGAATCCATGTCAGACTCAATTCACGTCGAATGCGGTGTGCCACAGGGTTCGGTATTAGGGCCCTCTACTCTTGGTCATCTTAAACCATCTAGTGAGTCAAATTGCGTCAAACTGTTTTTTTTTCTCTACGCCGATGACCACAAAATTTGGCGAGTGATCAGAGCTCCAGAAGACCGCATCCAGCTTCAAATTAACCTTGACAGGATTTATGGATGGTCGGTCCCAAATTCGCTTTTTCTTCAATGTGGCTACATCTCGAGCGCTCCATTTAAGTCACCGAACGGTTCACACAAATAAGCTTGGGGACCAGGATCTGTAACATTGTTCTCTCGAAAAGAATCTCGGTGTGTTAGTCTAGTAAGATCTTGGAGCAGTCCAAAAAGCATCGAAGTAGGGGATCCAAATCGTGGGGCTTTTACGTAGAGCTTTCGGGCAATTCGAACCGTCAATTTTCCGTCAACTGCTTCTCGCTTATAATCGTTCACCTACTGAAAATGCAATTCAAGCATGACATCCATGGCTAAAACCGGATCCCACGGTCTTGGAGCTTTCCCAACGTTGGGCGACCAAAAATGTCAAGGGGCTGCACCACTTTTAATGCGAACCACCTCAGAGTGCTTTGCATTCTCAGTGGACGTTATCACCGTTTTTGTCCTGATCTAATCATGATTTACCAAATATTAAACAACACTAATCACCCCTACTATCACCTATTGAAGCCGAGTCACAACAGCCAATTGAGAGGTCATCATCACAAATTGGCAGAACATTGCAGTCGATTGGAGTGTTGAAGAAGCTTCTTCTCGCGACTTGCTTTCCACACGTGAAATACCCTCTCAGAAGCTTTTATTTCAGCCCCCACGTTAGCCGTGTTCAAACCACGTTTCGACAGTGCGCTGGCCGTACTACACCATATGACACATACCAAACGACCCATAAAAACAGCAAGAAGATAGGAACAAACCAACATACCATCGTTTTTGTCTAGAAACCACAGACGATAACCTTGGATAGTACATAAGACGGACGGGAACGCTGTAATCGGCAAGTTCGCAATTTGCAGTTGTTCTCCATTTCCTATCACTATTTTCGACTTTATTTTTAGCACCCCTAACCGATCATTCGGTGGGACATGTCAAGCTTCGGCTTCTTTTATCCGCTATATACCATTGACCATTGACCACAAAAAGCTCCAGCGTGACCTCAACACGATTTCAAACTTGTCAGTTCTGAATGCAATACCGTTCAATGTGGAAAATTTACACCCTGTTCACTTGCGCCATAGGCATGACTATATGGATAGGCTTGGGTCACATGTATTGCAAACAACTTCCCAAGACTGCGATCTTGATGTGCTCCTTCCAAGTGACTTTAACTGTTCCAAGCAGTCAGAGGCAGCTGCGAAGAGAGCCAACCAGCACGTGGGCTTTCTGCGGCGAGTGTTGGGAAGATTCGACCAATCCATTTTCCCTATGATACAGAATTCTTACATGCGCCCTCACGTCGAATACCCCATCCAAGCTTGGCTATCCTGTTGAAGCGCAACTTAGAAGTGCTAGAGAAACCAAAATGCAGGGCCACAAAGAACGTCAAGGGCCTACGAAATCTGTTCTACCATCAAAGGCTAAACTCACTGGGAGTTTTCAGCGGCCGCTACCGAAGACTGCGCGACGATCTCATATTAGTCTACTAAATCTTGAGTGACCCTAATCACGTATGCTGTCACTTGCTGAAATTCAGCCACAACACCAATCTCAGAGGTAACCCTCTGAAATTGTATACACTGTATAGCCGCCTGGAATGCCTACGAAATTATTTTCCTCTTCGTGTTTGCCAACCCTGAAACTCTCCCAAAATTCCTTGTTTCCTCCCTGACCTTGGATATTTTCAAAAACTCATTGGATCTTGCCATTGGCTCCCATCGCTTCGTTGCCTTAACTATGCTACTTTGGAATATATTAATTATCCCTCCAAACCGGATTATCATGTTACATAAACCTAAACAGGCGGTACAGCAGTGAGTATTCTCGTTTTTACTTTTCTCACGGAGTAAAACTATGACTGTCCCCATCTTGCCTCGTCATTCGCATACAATTCTCACCTACACTACTATTATTCAGCAGCGTGTCTACTAGATAAACGCTCAAACAGACAACTTACCTATCTTTTGCTAATCGTAGTTTACCTCACCATCCTGCGGGATTTGTCAAGCACCTGCTTTTTCAGCCGACTAAATCATTGTTCATTGCACTCGGTCGCGCTGACCTCTGGTGTAGCTCAGTCGTAGTGGAAAGGAGCCAGTGCGATTGACCTCCCAATCCAGTTTCTGTCTGCGAGTACGTGCTTATTCGCTGGTTCTTCTAATCATTCAATATCCTCATTACTGTTATACTTGTGGTAACACGAGTCGGGAGATAGGTTCCCACCACACTTGGGTGTTAGGATCATGGTTGACCAACAGAATAAATTGTTGCTATTTTTAACTTATGTAGTCGTCTTTCTCTTGTGTCATATACTTGGATGACAAAAATCAAATAGTGATAGCGTAACATTGCTGCCTGCGGCATGAATACTTTCAAATGTACAACGCCATCGGTCTTTGGCTTTCACCAAGCCCGCGTTGTACTCATCGGTGGGCGATAGGGCTAACCTCCTTCAACTTCCCGATCGCTGGCATGTGACATCGTTCGGCCAACACTTCTTATGTGTAGATTACTTTAATTGCCTTCCAGCTTTCTGCCACTTCGCTTTCCTGCACTTTTAGTCCTGTGAATACTCCGTCGGCCGCAAAAGTCCAAGGTGTACCCAAAGCAGCAACAATGATTTTACCATTCTACTTGCTTATCCATTAGATTTACGTGGTAAGCTCAGCATTCTTGAAAGGGTTGTTTCATTTAATGCGTATGAAACATCTGCTTCCAGGTTTCGCTGGGCGGAATGCACTTTCCATTAATACCTCCTTCCAGTTTTCCTTCTCTAAACTCTGATCCGAGTGCAATATCTGGACTCCTGCGAACGAGTTGCGTAAACGCGCTTGCTGTGCTTTCGAAACACACCATACATTTGAACTGAAAGGCCGCATCACATCGTGCTCAGTTACCTCACGTGTGAGTCGTTCCACTTCGTCTTCCAATTTCGATACTTCTTCGGCATGTGCGCGTTGGGTCGCAACGAGTTCCGTGTTGACCAATGACAACTCCCGCTGGACGCTTTGCTTTTGGAGACGCATTTCTTCCCTTTGTTTTTCGGCCTCCGTGAGGGCTGCGCGTACTGCGAACAGTTCTGTACGTGCCACCAGGCAGTCCCTTTGAGCTTCGATATAGCTCCACATGTTTTCTCTTTGGTCATCTGTCACAGAGGAGGGGGCATATATAGTTTATGAGTTAAGCAAATGACGCTAGGTAACCAGATCACTTGTGATGCTACATATGTGAAAGTGCCTGATTTTATCACTGCTATCTTTGCAACCAGACACGGTTAAATGCTTGAAATCGGATTGATTCTCTATTCATTCTTACTTATCAGTTAAATACTAAATGAAACAACTGATCTTATCTATATTTCGAAGCCCCATAAGGATTGGGGTAATTGAAGTTAACTTAAACATCACTTTTTGTAACCGAGATAACTTTGCACAAATTGCGACATCCGGGTAAGCTGTGTGTAAGTCATATTGAAAACCAAGTATTGCGAACCTATTTTTCAAGTATTTTTGAGCCACGCCAGCTGACCGCACATCTCACACGTCCTAGTGGAGGCGCGTGAGCGTCCACAGAGAAAACTGGCGGGCTAACTGGCGATCGCTACGCTCACTTGCATTTGTGCCACACCTCACGATTAACCAGTTATTGTTTAAGTTTAGTAGTCAATGTGCTTGCAGTGGGAAGTTTGGTAGTTTAAAGCAAACAGTAAATCGATGTCGGCAGCTATCAAAACTTGACCTTTGTGTGTGGTGCTATCTGCATTTTAATCCAAACCGTGTACTCGTAGGGTCAAGCATGAAAGCCACATTCGTGAAAAGCAACCTGGATTTCGTCGAGGTCGTAGCTGCATTGACCACATCTTCACCTTGCGTCAGTTGTTGGAGCACCGTCACATATATTGGCGGCCCACCGTAGTCGTGTTCCTCGATATCAAAGGTGCATTCGATTCTGTGGATAGACATGCACTTTGGGACTGTGTACTCAGGAAAGGTGTGCCTGAGAAATATGTGAATATTATCCGAGCATTATATGCGCGCAGCTCGGGCAGAGTGAGGGCTTACGGCAAGTTGTCGTCGCCCTTTACTATCTCCAGCGGCGTGAGACAAGGATGCCCGCTGTCACCTTTCCTTTTCAACTTCGCTGTTGACGAAGTCATGGAAATCGCGTTTACAGGACACGACTTAGAAGGTGTGGAGCTACTCCCAGGAGAACGACTTCTTGATTTAGAGTATGCTGATGATATTGCCCTAATCTGTGACAGCTCACAAACGTGTCAAGCGGCACTGGACAGATTAGCACTAGCTGTCCGTCACTTCGGGCTTTGTTTCGCACCCTCGAAGTGCAAAGCGTTTCTCCAAGATTGGTCTGGACCGCCTCCTACGCTGACCCTTGATGGGGATCAGCTAGAAGTCATTCAAAAATTCAACTACCTGGGAAGTCGTATCAGCGTCCGTGGGATTGAAGATGAAATCACGAATCGTATAGCAAAATCTCGGGGCGCTTTTGCTAACCTTCGCCACTTATGGCGGCGGCGCGACATCACTCTTGCCCTGAAGGGTAGAGTGTACAATGCAGCAGTACGTTCAACCCTATTGTACGGTTGTGAAACCTGGCCCCTTAAAGCAGCGGACCTGAAGAGGCTAGTTACGTTCGACCACCGGTGCCTTCGTAATTTAGCTCACATTTGGTGGGAACACCGCGTGAGCAACGAGTGTGTTCGACGCCTTGTTTATGGCACAGGAAAAGAAAATGAACCGCTCAGCACCGTTATTTCACGCATCAGGCTCCGATGGCTCGGCCACGTGTTACGCATGCCAGCCCACCGACTTCCGCGACGTGTGTTGTTTGCGCGCCGGGGGTGTGGATGGAAGAAGAGGAGGGGTGGCCAAGCGATGACTTGGTCCAGAGGAATGAAGACCCTCACTTCTGAGTTGGCTTCGGTTGGAGCGTCTCGGCTCCGTGGTTGGAGTCCGAAAGACGATGAACACGTTTGGTTGGACACACTTGCTGATATGACTAGGAGCCGACCACAGTGACGTTCGTGCTGTGAGTTTCTTTGTCCCACCCCATCCCTCTTAGCCTCCTCCTCCAACCACGATCTCATTACTTAGCCTTAAATAATTTTGCATAATAATATTTTTGGGTGCACAGCAGCCGGCTGGTAGCTTACCGGAACGATGCCCATCCGTTACCGGTAGCTCAGCCAGCTTTCACCAGTTGTTTTTTCCTCTCCTTCTTCTCTGTATTGCGCACAGTAGCTGAGGTGTTTTCCACCTCGAGCTAACGTGCATGATGATGACGATGATGATGATGAGGGTCAAGCTTCCTTTTGTTATTGAGGCGAAACTCCTGGTAAGGGTGCGATCCGTTGATAAATTTTGGAATTTTACTCAGCGTCCAGAAGGAAATTCTAAACGGAAGAGTGCCGTAACAGAAACTCCTCCTTTGACAGATGTATTCACAACTGCAATAGCAAGATAACGACAGGGCCTTAATTTTGCAGGAGAAAGTCCAGTGCAATGGATGAGTAATGCATGATCTCTCATCCTAAGCACTATTATGTACCTGTGCATGTTAAGACTTGTTGATGCTGTGGCATCAACCCTACTTCGAGGAAGAACTGATCTTCAACCTGCGGAAGAACATGCATCAAACGCAAGGAAGGGAAATTAATTTGTGTGGTGTTACCAGTCAAACAAACTCAACTCAGACGACTGTGCTAGTATATCAATTATCAAGGAACTCTCCAGAAATGGCATGCGTCATCAGAGGAGCAAGACTTGTCTGCACGACGCTGATTATTCAAAAGAACTCGGTACGTTTTTGTTTAAATTCAGCAACCGGAGCCAGCGTTTATCCGGAGAATGGCTACTACACTATGCTTCCATGCGGTGCAATATTTTCTCAAACATTAAACACCTCCAACCTACAGTCGTAGGACAACGTCAAACTGGAGCTTATTGTCGATGGATGTAAAAAGTCGTCCGCTTGAGATTGTGGTGACTAGGGCGGATCGTGTACCCACCTTAGGTGCCGTTTCCACTCAACAGCTTGATTCTGTTTCTTCTAAGCTTAATCGCTTGGTAAATTCCCGTTAACTAACCACATACATCATCGACTTTTGTCCAGATGTGCTTGATGGGGTAGTGCGAAGTTTTGCCTGTTGCATACGTTTGTCTTTGATCGGTTACTCGATGTTTATTAATTTACTGACTTAGAAGGCGCCAATAACTGCGCACAAGGTTGCTGCAGGCTGTTACTAGGCCACTAGGGACAGTACCTGTTACGTGCGTCGATGACATTGATTTGTCCAGCTCACCCACACCGTTTTCTTATCGGTTAGCCTCACAATGACCGATCAAAAACTCATGCCATGGTTTTGTCGTGTGTCATTTGGTTCATGTGCGGAACTTTGGTTCGATAAAATGCCTGATTACGGTCCGGAGGCTTGCTTCGCTTAATTCCGTTATTACGCAATATTGGTGACGAGTGAAAATGAACCATCTCATTAACCCACGTGCTAACTTTTGATCGTCCGCTGAGGACAAACCGATCTTAGCAAACTAGATGTAGAAGAAATCATTTATTCGCTACTTGGAACTAACACCTGTTTTGAAGCCCATGGTTTCACTTTCGAAGTCCCACAAAATAAGACTATTCAGACAAGTGCCGAGGGATGAAGGTCGGCGACATTATGATACACCGCATTTGGAAACTTGTGACGCTTTTATATGTATCTTGGAAAAATATAGCTCACTGTGGGCATTGAAACGGAATGTTTATCCTGCGCGATAATGCTTTTCAAAGCTTGTACAGAAACCGAAGGAGAGCATCAACGACTTCATTGCACATATCCACCAGTTCATTCCCGAGTGCAAGTGCCATGGAATTCCGCCGACAAGTTTGGGGAAGAAATGAAAATGCCATGCTTACTTGAGAAAATTCTGGACGAAGGTTCACGGGAAAATTTTTGTCTTTGTTCGAGTCAGATACCGCTTGGAAGTACGCTTGTCTGCTTGTTCACGAAGGGGAGATCATCTCACACCAGCTACGTGAATTCACTGCTTATCCAATCGTCGATGCCATTCACGCAAATGCTAAACCACAGACTCCAGCTGAAGCTCCAAGATAGTTCGTGTGTTATCGCTGCGGGATGCAACATACTCGTGTTTCTGAGTGTCGGCACAAAGAAAGCATCTGCCGAAAATGTGGTCAAATAGGCCACCTAGCCCGCGTGTGCATATCTGAACCCACCCTAGTGACTAATCCCACTCAACTGGGGCGCCATGATAAGCTGCCGCTTACAGCTAAAAATGTGCAGGAAGACCCAGACAATGATCCAAATTTCGTCTACTTGAACACTGTATCACCTAACAAGTGCCTTCCGTATACGAATTCGTTTGATGATCGAGAACGAATCACTCGATTTGGAATTAGATACGGGGGTGCGGTTATTATTCTAAACAGTCCTTCAATCAAGAGTCTGCACCCTTAAAACCTTGTGCTTAATTGCAAATCTACACTGGAGATCAGAGTAGGGTCTTGGATAAATGCTTGGTTAAAGTCAGGCACGGCAAGCGAGAACTAACTCTACCTTTGCCCGTGGTGCCTGCGAAAAGCTCAAATCTCTTAGGATGAAATTAAATCCAATAGTTACCAGAAACGATGCAGGTTAATGTGGCCGTAGTCAGTGACAGCAGTCTAAGCGAGTTATTGAACCAATTTTCCTCTTTATTCGTAGATAAGTTAGGGGAGCTAAAGAATCTTAAAGCTTCCGTCAATCTACGGGAGAATACTAGTACCAACTTTTACAAAACACAAACATTACCGAATGCTATGCGTCCCACAGTTGAAGTAGAACTACAACGGCCACTGCACTCCAGTGTATTTCTGAACGTTTGAGCTCGATTTTTTAAAAATCTTACACTGATGTTATTTATCAAAGTATTTATCTCGGTAGACGCTCGGTACATGACCCACATACATTTTGATTTCATAGTATTCACTCCAACCATCCTGCGGGACGTGTCAAGCACTTGCTCTTATTCCGTACTAAATCATTGTTCCGAAGGCGTAACCATGCTCGTACAACACTCGGATTGGGGTACCTCAATTGTTTCTGTACTCAGACCCGACGGTATCGTTGGTGTCTGTGGAGAATATAAGTTAAACTGTCAATCTGGCTTCCACCCAACGAAACTTTGTACGCTACGTTATCCGATGGTCAAAAATTTTCTAAGCTTGATCTTAGTCACGCATATTCTCAAGTTGAACTCGATGAAGACTCAAGTGAATTAACCACCACAAACTACACATCTTGGAATCTTTCAGTATATCCGTCGCTTTTTTGGAAATAAATTCTACCCCCAGCATCTTCCAGCGGATTGTGAATGACATGAAGGATATACCCTTCACTTGTGCTTATTTGGATGATATCCTCTCCGCAGTAATGCTGAACATCCACAGACATTTAAAACAGTGTTTGAACTTTTAGAAGGGGATGGATTGAAACTAAAGAAGTCTAATTGTGAGTTTTTGTCAGAATCTGTTTGTTATCTTGGCTACGTACTCAATAGGAGAAGTCTGCATATCTTGTAAGATAAAGTATCCCCAATTATGCAGGCATTGTATCCTAAGAATAGTGATGAGCTCCGATCATTCTTGGTAATGTTCTCAAACTATCATCCTTTTTACCGGAGACATCAATTATTTTAGCTCCGTTGAAGGTACTGCTACTTATAAAACTCCTTGGGTGTGAAATGATGTACATCATTCCCCTTACATTTGTGCTATAAACTATCTAGCGTCAGCGCACGTTTTAGTTCACTACTATATATAAAATCCTTTGCTCATAAAATGGGGTGCTTATCTACACAGAGTTGGAGAAGTTTTGTGTCATAAAATGCCGAATGGTGCAATCCATCCGATTGCTTTCGCATCGCTTGTCTTATAATTCGCCGAAAAAGATTACTCACGACTGCATTGAAAGGGCATATAATTTATCTTTCGTGTCAAGAAATTTCACCAGTAATTTTGGGACAGTCATTCTGCGATCTAACCTGATCACTGACCGTTAATATCCTGATTGTGTGAATCCATGGGAGTCGATCAAATGTTTTCACTTAGAATACAACGATGGGCTCTAATCCTTAGTTGCGATATGGAAACAAATGTTGGTAGCTCAGGTTATTCAGTTGGTGGTCTGAGTGTTCGCTGAGCTCGGCAGGTTGACTGCAAACGTTTCGTCGCCACTCGAGATGACATCGTCAGTGCGCGTGTATTTAGCAGAATGGCGCGTACGAAGCGTCAGTGAGTGTGGGTGATCGATCTTAGTGCTTATGAATACAAAATTTCTTACATCCCAGGCTCTAACAATTTTACAAGGATGTCCTAAGTCGGCTACAGCACGCTACCACCGGGAGGCCAGTAGAGGAACCGTTGGAGTTTGTTCATTTGATATAGTACCTCGACACTATCTCTTTGCCAAGTAACTTCATACGCCGATGGACCGATCGTGATCTCAAACTAGCCTCATGATTCACGAAACTGCGCTGGCCTAGTAGAATTCCGACTGAGTTGAAACATTTTGGGCCTCAGTAAATGATCTGAATATACACTATGGATGCTTAGTTTGGGGCTCACGTTTGGTTTCACCGTTGAAGACACGCTCGTTCATTCTAAATAAACTTCACAATGGACATCCTGGTGTTGTCCCAGTGAAATGCCTTGCAGGCGGCTATTGCTGGTTTCCCGGCTTAGATTCCGAACTGGAAAACTACCTGAAAGCTTGTGATCTCTGCCAGCTGTATCAAACGAATAAACCTGCAGGACCTTGTCTTTGTCCTGAAGGTTCATGGTCCTTTGAACGGAATACTGTTGATAGTCATTGATAGTCGATACCCGTTCGGAATGGGTCGATACTTATCCAGTCAGTCATTCCATGGTTGAAACAACTCTTACAAAAATCTTCAAGGTTTGCAGTTTTCGGAATGCTTGCAACTGATTGTACAGATAATAGGTGTTGTTTTACCATTAAGGAGTTTGAGAGCTTTATGCAGAGCAATGGCATTAAACACGTGCGTACAGCTCTATATCATCCTGTGTCAAATGGATTAGCCGAAAGGGCGGTGCAGACGGTAAAAAGAGGGCTGCTAGAGCACTTATCCGGAACCATACAAATGCGACTAGAACGGTTACATTTTTACCTACAGAACAACTTCTACAGAAGCGACAGCCAAAGCCTTCGCAGGACTGATGTTTGGTAGAACGCTTCCTACTAGATTACATCTATTATTTCCTAATCGTATGGAGCAGATAAAGCGAAACAACAATACAGCCACTTTGGATAGGGATGACGATGTAGTCTTCCAACTTGGGGACCCCGTGTATACATGACCTCCCCACGAACAGTTATGGCAGTCCCAAGAGTAGTCACAAGTAGCGGCTGACCTCGAGCCAAATGGTCGCGTTTTGAGGCGACATTCAAATCACATACGTTCACTTTGTGTGAATACACGAGAAAAGAAGGAACATTTATCTCACCCAATTCATCCGACGGCAGAACATATCACTCCGGCTACAGCACAAGCACCAAACGGTCCAACACCTCGCCGATCTCAACGTGCACCTAAACCTGCTGAACGTTTCGTTCCCGAAGTATGCTTTCTCCAATAGAGGAGGAGATGTTATGTGCGTCGATGACATTGATTTGTCTAGCTCGCCCACACCGCTTTCTTATCATTTAGCCTCGCATTGACCAATCAATAACTCCTCATACCATGTTTTATCTCGTGTGTCATGTAGTTCATGTGCTTCATACTGTTTTTGTCCTGCACGAGTACGGTCAGGAGGCGTGTTTTTCTTAATTCCGTTACTACAGACTAGTATCAGTCGATATGATTGAGCAATTGGTCAGCATCTAATGTGGTTCATCTCGTTGATCACTACCTCGTAATACTAAGGTCAGCGGTTCCGGCTCCTCGTGAGACACATGTAATGGGGATTACAAACTAGTTCCGATAAGATTAGGTAGCTGTCCGACTTTTTTGTAATGGCGTTGTCCGCCTAGTTGTGTGTAGCCGTACTATACTGTCTGTTCCAACGTTATTCTGCTAGGAACGTGTAAATACATCCAGTTCTTGGGTGTGGCCCAACCTACTCGACATCATGATCACAAAGTGGATGATCTTGTTCCCTTGTGTATGAACATGATACAGAAAGTGTAAAATCATTTGATGGCTGTCGCAAGGGTTTCGTATGAGATCACTTTGGTTCGGCATTTATATTCTCATAATCCGAGAAGAGTGACAAGAGTACCGGACACCAACTGGCTGCACTTTCCAGCGCGGTTCATATCCGGCGTCGGGTATGCGTACTTTATGAATACCTGTGGCATCATTCAGTGAACGATATCACCTCTTCTGAGCTTGGTGCCGTGATAAATGGGTCAAAACGGTAGCGTAAAGCAGAAGTTACGCTCTTCTGGACCAGTCTGATATTTCCCCTAGGCTCACATTTGCTGTATCAGGTAGATCAGAGTTAAGCGCGTGCAACTAGACATTCAATAGAGAATTGCTCATTTCCGAACAGACACTGCTTACGCATCTCTCCACCTAGGGTCCGATGACCGGATTATCTCCCACCCGATCATATAGTGTACACAACCTTTACTACTGACGCGTGCTCGATGGCTTATTGTGATTTCCCACCTAGAATATTATACCTAGACTCGGAAGGCACGAACGAGCCCTGTCTGAACTCCGTGTGTGTATTTGCTATCTCGCCGATTTCAGTGTTAGCTCTTATTGTCTGAACATCAAGTTTCCGCTTGTGTTCCATAGTGATTTTGCCTACTTGACTGGTGTCTTCTAGCAACGTCACCGTATCGCCTTCGTTATACTTGAATGTGGGGTACTAGTGACAATGAAATTACCTCACCTCTTAAAGTTGTTGCCTCCAATTTATTTGTAAGGCCAGCAACTTCTCGTTCCAACTCGGCGATTGTCCTCTTGTGCAACCGATCGCAATGGAACCCCGTTCCACATGTTTGGGAGGATTGCAACTTTTCTAAACAAGCCAGCTCGATATTTAGGGCGCGTATCCGTTTCTCTCTTGCGTTTCGTGTCTGCGAAATTTGGAGATATTTGTGTTACGCATAACACTATACACATCTGGTAGCACGTATTCTGAAAGTGGTAAGGGAGGCAATGAAAGGTGGAAAATTTAAACCGAAAGCTATCATGAAGATTTGTGGGCAATCAAGAGAGTTCAAACAAACGTAGCACTGCAAGGGCCTGCGAGTGGTCAGCTTAGAGCATGCCCGAATTTAACGCTGTCAACCGTAAACTAATTAGCATGCAGTACCAGAAGAACTTACGAATATCGGCTTAGGGAACACGTTTCGCAGCGTGCTTCTAATAAAAGTGATCTTAGGGTGCTAGTGTATGACAATCACGGGTATTCAAGGCATTCCGAGACAGCAGTGTAAATAACTAATTAACACTTGGGCCTACTGCAGACTGCGTTTGGCCGATTCGATCCTACCTTATTTTTACGAATGCGCAACGCTTACTTGAAGCCACATTTAGAATGTACCATCCAGGGGTGACATACTGGAAACAACATGAACTCGCTACTCGTGAGGATCCACAACGGAGGTCGAATTAAACGGTTAAGAGCTTACTCCGCCTCCCTTAAAAATGTACACTGAAGACTCTAGTCAAAAAAGCCGAGAACTTGTTATATGCACTTTCGGTGGATGAATATTCCATGGACAATACCGTCATCTGCAGGGTGGAAAAATGGCGTATTACGGATAAAATAGCAATGTCAACAGGTCCGATAGGATGGAAATGCTTGCGAAAATAAGAATTCGGGATAAAGTGAAAAGCGTGTTGGTGGAACCACCATAGAAATATGTAGAAGAGCGGGGATGTTCGCGCATTAAATGTATTGATTCACTGGTTGGTAGTTTAGTAACACAGCGTTTGATTGCGTTTTGCATCCACCTGCATAACAAGTCATAAATTGTTATGCAAATGAGACAAAGCTTCGTCAAATAATTTTTTAATATCGTCAGATTGGGATCAGAGACGACGTAATTAGGGAGGGCGTTCCAAAGTTGGCAAACGCGGAGAGAAAAGAAATTACTATGGCATCCAACCCGGCTATACAATATTTTCTGTTTCAGTGGATGACCTCTTAGGTTAGTGTCGTGGTTCAATTCCAACAGCGGACGGCAAATGTGGTTTGGGTTCCTCAGAATCTGGTAAACTATTATGAGATCCTCCCGCAAAAGCCGATATCGACTGCAGTACATTTTTAGAGATTTCAGTCTAAGCTGATGGGCAGATAAAAGAGGCCCTTGACGTACTTGGTTGCCCTTCGTTGAGCAGTCTCAAAGAGCAACGAGATCTTGTTTCTGCCACGGCTGCCACGCCTTGTTAGCATCTTCCACGTGCGGTCGAACGTAGGCGCTAAGCATTTGTGGAAATATTGAGGGTTCAAACCGACCAAAGGCTAAGCGAGGCAGGCCAAAGTGTTGATTGCCGGTTCTAGAGGCCTTTTCAACTTTATTTGAACACCCGAGATCTTCCTGTACCAGTACACCCAGGTCACATTCCCCAGAGGACTCTGCAAGATGTGGTCTCTAAGCTTGTAAACATTCACTGGCTGGTGACGCAGATGGATCAGCTTGCACTTATCTATATGCAACTGAGGCAGGTTCCTCTTTGACCATTAATAAATGCAATCTAGGTCATGTTGGAGTAGATCGCGATCTTCCTTTTTCTTAGTCGCCCGCCATGTCTTAACATCAACAGCGAAAAGCAGGAAATTTGAGGAGATTACTCTTTCCAGGTCGTTGATAACCACAAAGAACAGGCGCGGTCCCAGCGCCGAGTTATGTTGGATACCACCAGATTCTGAAGAACCCAAACCACATCTGCCGTCCGCTGCTGGAATTGAACCACAACACTAAACTAAGAGGTCACCCTCTGAAACTGACAATTCATAATAGCCGGCTTGAATGCCGTAGAAAGTTCTTTTCTCTCCGCGTGTGTGAGCTTTGAAACGCCCTCCCTAATTATGTCGTCTCTGCTCCCAATCTGGCGATGTTTAAAAAACGTGTTGACGATTCATTGTCTCACTTACATTTCATTTTATGACTTGTTAGCCAGGGGCTACAAAACGCAACCAAACGGTTGCTTGCCAAACGCCTAACCAATGGATTTATGGATTTATACGTTTGATATGCGAACATCTCCGCTATTCCACATAAGTCTATGGTGAGTCCACCACAACGCTTTTCACTTTATTATGCAATTGATTTTCGCAATAATTTCCATCCCACGGGACTTGTTAAGCGATGCTTTTTTACCCGTAATAAACCATTGTCCATTGTCCACTTCCCTAGCACGCAGTTCAAGCCTCGGTTGGTGAAGAAAGTTGCCAATCCAGCCAAGCACAGGATCTCCGATTCCGTAGCTCGATAGTCAGTGAAGTAGGATGCAATTATGCAGGGGTCAAAAGTTTTGGAGAAATCCAGATAGATGACGTCAACTCCGACCCCACCAATAACCACTTTCGTCCAACTACCTCGTGCCATTAGCAGGTTAATGTTGCAGGACCGGTGTTGGCGGAAGCTATACTGCTCCGGTGTCTAGATATTTCACTTTTCCCGGTAGTCTATTAAAGCCTCAGTGACGACCGCTCCCATAGACTTCTCGAGCACAGGGAGGGGAGTCATTGGGTGATCTCATGTTAGTGTATCAGACTCTCAATGGTCCTACTTAGTCATGTTAACCCCTATTAAAACTCAGCCACAACTCCTAAATAAGGGGCGACCATCTGAACTTGGCCACACAGTTTAGCCGGTTGAAAAGCAGCCGAAGATATTCTTCATATGCATATCCAACCGATGGAACCTTCTCCCACATTCTGCCATATCCTCTCCTACGTCAGATAAATCCAATATTCGACTTTATGATGCATTACTCCCCCCACACTAGGAATACCATCACAACTACTGGCCGAATCTTCTACTCAGTTCTTCCAGGGTTGCTTAGACCAGAAAACTTCCTGTCATGTGGTATCATAAAATAATGTCTCCACTTCACAAAGGCGGAAGCAGGACCGAGCCTTCAAACTACCGCGCAGTATCGCTTCTTCCTGTGTTGTTCAAGGTCCATCATTATCGATACGCTTGTGTGCTATCTGACAAATTAAAACATTATTACTCCCGGACATCATGGTTTCCGTCGACAGCGATCGTGCACAACGAATTGGCAAATCAAATGCCGTAGTTGAGCGGAGTCAGTCGACGCTAGTGAGGAAGTTGACGTGATCTACCTATATTTTTCGAAGGCATTCGATTGTCTAGATCATCGCATACTCCTTTCAGAGCTCCGGCGTTACAGTATTGATGACGCTGTTTTCCTTCAACGGCTATTAGTGGTCAGATTTCGGAGCTCTGATCCCATAAACGTTGAGTGAAATGTGTCTTAGGGTTCTACACTAGGGTTACGATTGCTTTGTTGGGTTTGAATGACCTCGTACACGCAGTCGCTTCAAATTTCCTACTGTTTACCAACGATATCAAAAATATTGTGTAGGATTCAGGTGAATGCCGATCAGCACCTGCTTTAGAGTGACCTAGACACGGTACGTTAGTGGTCAATCCAAAATTTACTGCATTTCAATGTGGGTAGTTCCAAGATAGTATCTATACGACATCAGATCAGAAACACATATAGGCTCGGAACGCATGAAATACACCGATCTCCCGTCGAATTTGATACGGGTATGCTGGTTTAAGAGGACTTAGGTAGTTCCCGGCAATCCGAAAGGGCCTCGAAAGTTGGTAACCAACACGTCGAGCTATTTCCATAGCGTTCGGGCAAATAGTGATCTCTATTTCCAGAAAGATGATAAGTGCATATGTTCGACCCTATGTCGGCGGCAGAGCCTATGGTGCGCTAAGGCTGGTGGTGGCTAGATCCTGAGAGATGATCTACTAACTGCTGCTACTCCTGCGCCATTGGCTCATGTCCTGGTCGCCTCCTCGTGGAGACCGCTAGGTGGGAGTTGGGTTTCGCCCTTCTCCCTGCTAAGATCTAGGACACCAATCCGCATGAGTCAGTGAACTGACCATGTGTTAGACCCGCTGCCTTTCGTGTGTACATTTGATCGAAGGCTTCGGCTGAGGACTCGAGTCGTTCTCCTGTCAGGTGTGAGCGCTCTGGCAGTATGCTAGTCCATCCTCTTCTGAGGTTAGGAAGTGGTCGGTGGCCTTCTTCCCGTAAAACCTAGCCACGGGAGACCACTGGTTTACGGGTTATAAGCTCATAGCTCGATTGGCGTAGAGCACGAGCGCCACGCATTGTCTCTGACGGTGAAAGGGCACCTCCGGGTGTTCAATGGTTTGCTACTGTCCGCCTCAAGCCAGGCAGCCCCTGGTCAAATTGGTGCAAACCCGCCAAAACCCACAAGCTTTTGGCCGTGGTCGAAGGTGCGTAACCTACTACGGTCGCAAAACATTTATGAATCGTTCCAGTACCTCAAAGGCTGCGTGTGACGGCCGTCAAGCAGATCCCAATCTGTCTCCACAATCACATTCCCGAGCTGGATCTGCTCCCCACTGTCTTGTGGGTCAAGCCATTGAGGCAAAGGCTTCGGGTGGAGTCCCTTAAGAAAACCTCGGAAGCACAACGACCACCTCGCGTGTGATTGCCCACCAATGCAATCGTATGCCTGTGCGCAAAGCGCTCAGCATCGGGTGCTGGAACATGCGCACACTACTGGACCGGAACTCCAGTGAGCGCCCCGAGCGACGCACTGCACTGGTCGCGATGGAGCTGGCGCGTTACCACATCGAGATTGCGGCGCTCAGTGAAACTCGGCTCGCTGAGCAAGGTAACTTGCATGAAGCAGGTGCTGGTTACACATTCTACTGGGTGGGCAACACCGCCTCAGCACCACGTGATCACGGGGTTGGATTTGCAACATCCGATCGTCATCCTTGGCCACCTGGTGGGTGAACCGACGGGCATCAGCGCGCGACTGATGACTGTTCGCCTAAAACTCAGAGGAAGTAAATTTGCCACTTTCATAAGCACGTAAGGTTCAACCATGAGTTATCCTGATGACACGCGTGATCCATTTTACGCTCAACTATCCTCTGCGATAC